GTGAGGGTACGAGGCGTGAGGGAAGCTCCTCTGTTACCGACCTCACCGCAGACGTTGGCTTATCGTTTATTTCCCCAGAAACGGGTGTTATTTTTACATGAGAAGGGGTTCTTAGCTCCATAGACGTATACAGTCACCGTGCAGATGACTTACGGACTGGGGCATGGCTGTGAGGGGCTGGGGGTGAGGGAGAAGCAGCCATGGGGCCCCTGGGGCAGGCATCCCTGCCAGCGCAGGTGTTTCCCCCTTCGCTTCAGTGTCCCAAGAAACTAGAAGACTTTTGATAAAAGAGTGTCTGAAAAACTGCTGCAAAACACCTTATGACGTCTAGTTGTAATAAATCGAAAGGTAACGTTTATTTACCGATTCTGAACAAAGACACTTAGCAGTAGTTAAAAGCACTCTTGTTGCACTCCTCATTTATTCATGTTTAAACAAACACAATTCTGCTAGGTAATTGTAGCAGCCAAACATCACGCATTTGTCAATAGGCAGCAAATGTGCTAATTACAGCATGACATCAGATTCCATAGGTAAAAAGTCTTGATAGTGAGGAAAGTTTTAAATTGTCAGGCAACAGCTAAAAAGTCAAAGCAGTAATATTTTGTTGTGAAGGTTACCACTTCGCATGAAGTTCAAAAGTTAATGCCTGAAAACGAGAAAAAAAAAAAGAAAAAAGGATGAGAGACAAACACAGAAATATTTCTATGCAACCAGGGTACGATCCAAACCAAGACCTGCTAACAGTGGCTGAAATACCCCAACTGAGCGCAGCAGACCTCTACTTCCAGAAAACTGTTCTGAACAGTGAAAAGAACTACCATCATCATCCTGAATTATGCAGGACAAATTACTTCCACCAGTCATTTTCTCACTGCTGCTGTAACTTACAGTAGAGCTACAGCACCCCTTCTGAAGTCGCTTTTCATTTAATTGTCATGCACAATACTCATTGTGTGGTGCAGGGTTTTTTTTTTTCCTGATACAAAATCTTGGCAAAAAGACAACTCGGTATTAAAATTTGAGTGCAGTCTTCATTATGATTCATGATAGTAAGAATAATGGAGCTGTGCTTTTGATTACAAAAAGATATGTGGTTAAGCAGGCAGAGAGCAGGACAGAGCTAGAAATCCTAAGCTGAATGAGTATTACAAATTAATCTCTTTTAAGATATTGAGTAAATTGCCAAAATGCTTAGATTCAAATTTTACTGAAATCTTCAACTACTTGTAAAATGGGAGAAAACAATTATTTACCTTTCCTCAGAATTTCCAGTATTCACTGACACTCAAAATGAGATATAAAAGGATTTATTTGTTACAGAGTATGGTTATGCATAGCTAAAATTGATGAGAAGTACCTGCTGTATATTGAGGCTGAATTTATTAATAATGCAAGCTTGACCCATTTCAATTTCATTTCATATTTATGGAAAGATGTGAATAAGTTTACAATCCTTTTATCAACCTTCAATTTTAGTGGTAGAAATAAGGAAAACAGCATGAATGGACAAAGATGTAAAAGATAATGTATGCTTTGTTAGTGCAGTATCTTATGTCTAAATTAATTTTTTTAGTATACATATATCACAGGAAACCGTTAGTCTCAATTTATAAGTTTACGGATACCAATTACTTAAATAAAACCTGCATTCTCTATTTTCCGTACATTTTCAGAATTCTTCTCCACATGAAAAAGGGGAGAAAAAGAAGAAAGAAAAAAAAAGTATGATCTATATAGGTCTGCAGAAGCACCATGTGTTCTTTTACCAAAGTAGTAAATACCTCAATAAATCTTTACCTCAACAATTTTAAACCAACTTCAGGCAAGAGTTAAAGTACTACATTTTTAATTTCTTCTGAAAGAGAAGTTGTTTTTATACTTCAGTCAGAAGCAAGAATCACTTGAATCCAAATCTTTCACTTGGTTACATGTACATTAGAGGGAAAGGCATCCTCTTTTACCTTGTCAGCAGCATCATTCAGCCTTTGAAATAATTTGGAAAAGAATTTTTCCTTTCTTCATAATCTGCAAATGCAGAAGCAATAGGATCTGAGTAGAACATGACAGGCCTTGGTCCTTCATTGTTCATAGCGAAAGTAGCTGGGAACTTTCTGAGATCAAGACCCCTGCCCGAAAAATAAGCCTGGAGCGTTCTGAAAAACTGAACATATTGCATATGTGAAAATAAAGCATGCCCAACAGAGATTAATTATTTCTACTGGCACAAAGTAGATGTAATGTTTGTTCCTATGTGGGATGAACTGCTGTATTTTGATCACAAACTGGTACAATATAGGTAATATAATTCAGACATGTCCACTCCGTCCATGATTTCTACACCTTACGTGGTGTCGAAAGACCACCAACTGCTTACTGAGCATCTATGCTCCCCACTGAACCACAGAGGATTCAGGCTGTATCCCTTATAAAAAAGGCACAGCAAAACCCTTGCTGAGAGCAAACGGTACAGTTCTGTTACACATTTCTCTAAGAGAAATGGTCTCTAAGACTTAGTAACAGCGGACATTTGATTTGAACTGGTTTCTTAGCTTAAAAGTAAAAATTAATGCTTCTTAAAACAGTGAGGAAAAATTGTGGGAAAATGATTTCTTTTTCCCCCCTTCACAAATTCCTTAAAAGATCTTGCAAATGTTCTCTTAATGATACTTTCTTAGCTCCAATTAACTTCCAGATCTTTAGCCACTATTCACAATATGTCAGATGCAAACTTATTTGTACTTCCAGAAGATGACACAACATGCAATCAACAGAGTACACATTTGAGAAAAACATAATCATTCATCTTCTGTTTCATAAAATGAGTGGTTGTATAATCAAAATACATTTTTAAAAACTAAAGCTGCTGGATCGAGATACAAGGAAGTGTTATGCGCTACTGCACACTGAGAATGTCTCTTCAGTTAAGGCGTACATCTTGACTGAAGAGTGCTCATCCAGTTGTGGTTATTGACTCTACAAAGTGCAGTTACTAACACTACATTTAATGGGCCCCTCTTACCTTTAAATTTAGAAGATAAAAATTCTCAAGATGGAAAACAAAAAACCCACACAAAACTTAGGCTATCTTTCTTGCAGCATTTCCTTACCAGGTCTCTGTTTCTAGGGTTGTCTAGGGGTTTCCATTTTTCTTCTGGTTGGAAAGGAGCACCCTTTGCCAATCCTCTCACCGCCAATACTGTATATAAACCCAGGAGCACCACTTTCCACATGTTGGAGAGATGAACAGACTATCTGTAAGGACAACGAACCAGCTCCTTAAGTCCTACAGAGCTGTCACTGGTAACAAATAGAGCAAGCATGACAATCCAGTGGAGTGCTGAAAATAATTTATTCACAGCAAGGAAAATCTGCCTACTGCAGATTACCTCCATGTGCTATCAACTTTTTTTTTTGTTTTCCTAGTACTAATGTACTAGGAAGAACAAATTATTCTAAAGAAGTGTTTCCCATACCAAAGCAGTTTCTAGACACTGGATTCTCTTTTTGAGAGGGACTAGTATGACATTCAACACAAAATATTTACATTTGTAAATTTACATTTGTTATTACATAGAGCCATTTTCATTGGCCGATTAGTTACAGCATCAGATCTTTGTGTGCTCCAAGGAGAATGCAAAAATATGGCTTGAGATCCAGATAGCTCGATTTTTAAGACTGCATGAAATGAAAGTGCACTATATAGATTAATAAGTGCAAAAATAATATAGCCTGGTATAATATACTAGAGACCCATTTCACAACTTGATTCAAGGGGGGGTAAAAAAAAAAGAGGAAATAATTCTCCCTTTCACGTTCTTTAAAGTAAAGCTTACCCGTGAATTTGGCTCTGGCTTGCCCCTTCTTGGTTATTCTCCTTGTAATCTGTGAACAAACTGATCTCTGCACTTATATTTCTAGTGGACTGTAGGTGGGTGTCAATGACGTTAGCAGGAGTTCAAAAATACAGTAATGATTCCATTTCCATCCATGACATAAAGACCCTTGAGAATTTCATCCTTAATACTCTTAAGACCTGTTGCTATCGAACAGTGCAGTGCAAATTCCTCTTCCCTAAGCCGTATTGCAGAAAATTGGTGGTAAGCATATAATAAGTTTAAAACAATGCCCAGCAGAGATAGCAGAGCTGTACCAAAATATTACTTTTAATTAAAAGTAATTAGCCATATCTCTAGAATGGTGACTAACAGATAATTACAGCTGGTTGAATGGTTTTCAAGCAAGATGAGATACGGATCATTCTCTTGATGCTGGAGAGAAAGAGAGAAGTAAGGTCTGTTTCAAGATCCAAAATCATAACCTTTTATGGGAAGCATTGCTTTCCTACCCTGATTTTATCAGCAGTCAATATCCTCCTGTCAGACTAGAAACTACGACAAAGACTGCGAGGAGGACTATGCTAATTTATCTTGGCCTTATTTCATAGCATTCTTCATCTCAAAGCTGCTCAAATTTTTTGCTTATAATTTCATTATACTCTTCTCTCCACTATTTAGATGATACTTTAGTTAGTACCACATAAAATACATCTCTAAATAGACATGTTAAAAATAAAGATTTGTGGCCATTATCTTACTCCCAATTATAGATGTTTATTTCTGACTAGAAGTTTTACATCTTTCTTTGGTTTAAATTTTGAAAGCAAACCAAAAACCTAACACCACCCTTCCAAGCAGGCAAAGTTGTGGACATCCAAACGTCATCAGCAACACGGTAAACAAAATCCTAGCAATGTTATTTTCATGACTGTAGTAACACATAAAAATACAAGTCAACTTATCCAGCTTGTATATTGTTCTACAGACTTGGAATAAAAAAAGTACACACACACAAAGAAAATCCATCAAAACGCACCAATTACTTTTCATAATAGACAACTTCCAGATAGTAGACTCATCAAGAACCAGAACAGCAGTAGCAATAGAAGAGCTTGTAAAAAGGCAGACCCCAATGTAAGGGAACTTTCTTTGTTGATTTTCTAGGTAGATACGTATTTCTAGTTTTGTGTATAATTTACCTTCTAAATCAACCAAAATTAGAAATATGTTCCTCTAAAGGAAATGACAGGAAGGGGGAAAGGCTTGATTTACAGTTCAGGATTAGATTTTAATTCGTTACTTAGCTTATTAAAAAAAAAAAAAAAAGGCCAGAACAGCAGGCAGTTTTCTGCCTCCCCCCCACCCCTTCCTTTATTAATTTCATTTATTTAGAAAGAAAAAAAATGGGGGATATGCAGTATATTAAGCTAGTAAAACATAGCAAAGTCATCTGTAAATTTGAAACAAGTTTTATTACTGTAGGAGTTTAGGCAGTTGTGTTGGCTGATGAAGTATGCAGATATGCAAGAGATTCAATTAGCATATATTTTCTGTAAACTCTCTTAAAAAAAAAAAACCCAACAAAACCTAGAAACTTGTATTGTTGTTTCCTGAGCTAAAATTTTTTGAGAAACTGTTTGACCTAAAAGTCTGTTTAGATTTAGTGCTCATTTTAATGCGGGTTTTTTGGTGGTGTTTTTTTTTAAAAGATAATTTCATTATAGCTCCTTCCTTCAGTGAAAGTCAAATATAAGCAGAACACATTCATATTAAAATACTATTAGTATAGTTACACTGATTGGACAAAATTGCATCCTCCTTTGAGAACAGTAGCTAGTTTAACAAATGCTTTCCAAGCCCGATGTCACTGTGCTGCCTTTTTAATGCAACCAGATTTAAGCACTAGGTTTTCTTCACAAATTATGTATATAGACACACATCTTCAGTAAATCAAATCTTTTGAAAGTGGCTATACTAATTATATAGCCCTTATGGCACAGTAATATTCATGTATGTTTGAATTAAATTGCACTGAAGCTGAAAATGCTCATAGCATTGCTTGTTCAGTTGCATGCAAGTTACTTCAAAAAGATAAAAAAATCTTGTTCTAGAAAAAAAGGCAAATTTTAAATGAGTTAGTTTAACTGAGAACAAGTTTTATACACATGATGCTCTATGTAAACTATATTATTCACCAAACATTTTCCATTTTATTGCATTTCCAATTCATGATAGCAAGGCAAATATAACAGCCTAAGGTGCATGAGTTAAGATATTGAGACAAGCTTCATTAGGTATGATCTTTATTACATTCTACTCGAGATGTGAAAAAAAGTATCTGTTAAAGTACTGCTCTAACCACAATGCTTTTGTTCACTGTTTTTATTTTCTGCTTAGAATCCCAAGTATTACAAGTTAGGAGGAAAAGCACCAAACTGCTCCACGTGAGTACCTGAGCAAAGACTAAAGGCAAACGCTCATCATGACACTCATTAGCGTGCTTGTACAACAGAAGTGCAGGTAACATTCACAGCACTCTACAGAGTATGACTGGTAAGTGGCACTTTTTGTGAATTACAACCATTTGTATTAATGCAACCATGTTAGAACACCATACAAAAGTATCCAGAAGTGTTTATTTAGCAGAGCATACGCTATACAGTGTACTCTAAGTCATGCACACTTAGGTAAAAAAAAGACAAATAAAAAAATGTGAAGTATACACTGCAGACAGGAAAACCATCAAACAAAATACAAACATCCCAGAGTAGCTCCCACTCAAGTTACCCTCAACTTCAACAAAAAAGTACCAGTACCTAAAAGCATAGTTTTTAAAGAGTCCAAGATTTCATCTTTCAGCGATTTCAACATTAGCTGAAGATACCTGTTCTTCAAGGTTTTCTCAGCATCTCACAAGATGAGGACTTTGCCAAAGCTTATCACGCATTGCATGATCTGTATCTGAGAATTCAGTTATACGTATTTTAATAAGCACAATAGTTTATTATAGCATTATTCAAATATTTATAGATAAGACCCTGTCAGCATCTCTAGAAACCTGTAACTATTAAGAGTTGGCTCCACTGACAACACCCAATTCACACTATCTATAGAAGAACTGAAAATCGAGGAAGAGTTAAAAACATTGTAAGACAGGTTGCTTGTGAAGCAATAGATTTTTCCAAAAATTACATATATGTTCTTCAAAAAGTTTTAAGTCCTCTTAAAACCAAAGAAACAATAGCCCCCTCCCTCCCCGCCAATTACCCAAACCAGGTATTTTGGCCAACATTATTCTGTCTTTGTGCTTGGAAAAACAATTAAAAAGTAAGGAGGAAATCAAGTTACTAGGCCTAGGTTACACAGTTTTTCTAGACTAATCATCATATATAAAGACCTTAAAGGTAGTTCTGCCCTCTCAATGATTTTAATACTAGAATATTCCTGTAGCTATGGAATCAACAATGGCTAGGGTTACTGAAGCACCACCATCACAAAAGAAAGAAGAGAAAGGTAGGTGACCAGAACGAGAGTTTTAGAAGTCCTAAACTAACATACAGAAGAAAGTAGCAGGGAAGACACAAAAATGGCATGTTATCTGTTGTGCCACAGCATCAGCAGCATTGTGGCAGCCAGGTTCAAGTTAGCCCTCAATAAAAGAAGGTTAATAACTTTGATTTGTACTGTTTCAAATAATTACTGTGATCAGCTGACATGCAGTCATTTTGTGTGCGTATCTAAGCATCCACAGTCCAATGATAAGCTTTGAGATGGCATCTATTCAAGATTCAGTGTTACACAGTACTAATACTGGGGGGCGGGGGGGAAGTCAGAATTTGGGGGATTTGTTCAAAACATACAAAGAATCCTGTAGAGACACATAAGGAAAGCCAGTGGTGGCTTTTCCTGAGCACTTTATACTAAAAAATATACATAAGAAATCCTTCTACTATATCAAAATAAGATTTTAAGATCTTGACTCTTTCTGGTTTTCTTTAATGAATTGAGAGGAAAAGAATGATAACCCCCGCAAAAAAAAAAAAAAAAAAAAAAAAAACCAACCAAAAAACCCCCAAAAAAACCCCACAAAAAAAAACCCCCAAAAAACCCCCAAACAAACAAAAACCCAAACCAAAAAAACCACATTTCAGGGTTTTATATATGAATATTTTTCCTAAAAAATGAAATTTGTTATTCAAAACTTCTAGAGCTTTAACACAACTAACCCCATCCCAGTCTAGTTTTCTTCTCACACTGGCGTAAATATTGATACTCAATGGCTTAAATACAGTATTTTGCTAACACTACAATTTGAGGATTTTTTTATTTTGAAGAAACTAAAGAACAAAGTTTTTAAAAATAATTTGACACAGACTGCAAAATTGAGACAGATT